CCGAGGAGGGCATGTGACACCTCAGTAGGTCGAAAAATCGACAGCACATGTATCCATACATCTACCTCCGACAAGACATCCCATTACGTGTATCTGCTGTATCGCCGATCTTTCGGCAGTGTATCGCCGATTCCAGGTCGATGCCCCCCCGCCCCCGAGCCAGTCCCTCCACCCCGAGCGTTGCCCCTCATCGCCGCTGGCCAGGGTCTTTGCCGCTCGAGCCAGATCTGCGACGATGCTGGATGGGCCCCCCCCCGTGGCCAGGTCTCCGACGACATGATTTTGGCAGCCCGGGTCGTTCACTCGATCTTGGCATCCGGGGCCGTTTGTCGGGCCCGGGGGCCATCAGAAATGGATCGATCTCCGACGACATCGTTTTTCTCCACCGGCGTTGTTCCTCGATTTGAGCCTCCGAGGGGGCCGTTTTCGGGCCAGGGAGCCGTCAGAAATGGACAGCGATCTCCGACGGCCCGGCTTTTCAGCTGGCGTTTCGTGCTCAAGTCGGCCTTGGGTCCGCGCATCGAGTCCATCGTCTCGTCAGGTTTCGGGGTCTTCGACGATGCCGGAGGGCCCCCCCCCGTGGTCTAGAGCCTCTCCTCCTCGTCCTCCCTCGTAGAGGAGGAGAAAGTACCGGTGCTGCTGCGCTTCCCTCGGCGCCAGGGCTGAATTCGCTTCGAAGTCACATCACGAGTTGGGCGCGTTCGGAGGCATGCCGATTGTTCATCGTCGCCAACAGCGCCGACCCGAGAAACTTCAGGCACGTTCGTTTGGTGGAGGGAGCAGGGAGGAGAGAGAATGAAGGAGGAGGAGGAGGAGAAGGAGGAGGAGGAGGAAAAGGAAAATGCGAGAAGTGGCTGCGAGAACGGGTTGGGCATGATCCGTGTCAGCTTGTGCCCGAAATGCCGCGGTGGGTCCGTAGAACTCACCCGAGGCGTCCTCAGCCTCGCTCTCTTGAGCGGGCCGGCGCCTTGTGTGCACGGTGAGACCGCCGAGGAGCGCAAGAGCATAAGTGGGAGGAGGAGCAGCAGCAGGAGGAGGAGGAGGAGGTGGAGGAGACAGGCGGCCGGCTCGGGAGGCGCGGGCTTGGCTGCTGGCGCTGGCCAGGGAGCTCCCGGAGGACTCGCAGCAGGAAGAACTTGCGCGAGCCTACCGGGTGCTCAGCTGCGCGCTGCAGCGGGAGCTGGCCCACCAGCTACGGCACGCGGCCGGGCTGCGCTGATGCTGCACCTGGGCCGCGGCCTAGGCCTGCGGCGTGCTGCTGGGCGCTGCGCCGGGCGGCTGCTGCTGCGCGGGGCTGAGGCGCTGCGCTGCTGGGCACTGCAGCTGGGCAGGCGCGGGGCGCCGGGCCGCGGCCGGCGGCGCGGCGGCGGGGCGTGCGTCGGACTTTATAACCCTCTTTCGGGCGTGCCGGCCGGCAGGGCAGGGCGCGGGCTGGATGGGCGGGGGAGGCCTTTTTCCACTTTTTTTTTTTCTTTTTATTTTTTTTTTTCATTTATTTTTACTTTTAGTTTTCTTTTTTATTTTTTTTTTCTTCTTTTTACGCCGGGCGCTCGGAGGAGCAGGAGGGCGAGCTGGGCAGGAGCAGGAGGGCTGCTGCCGGAGCTGCTCGGGCCGCGGGCGGCGGCAGGCGGGCGCGGGGCAGGCGCGGCGGCTGCTGCCGGCGGCGCGGCAGGCGCCCGGCGCAAGCCGGCGGCGGGGCGACGGCTGGTGGCGCGGCGGCCCGCGGCGACGGCGCGGGGGCGTCCGGGGCGGCTGCGGCGCTGCTGGGCCGAGCGGCGCCTGGCGGTGGGACCGCGCTGGTGCTGTGCTTCCTGGAGGAGGTGTGGCGCCTGGCGGTGGGACCGCAGGCCGCAGGCCAGGCGGCCGCGCGGCGGGCGGGTTTCGCGGCCGGACACGCGCCCCGCGGCCGGACACAGCGCCCGCGGCCCGTGAGGAGGATGAGGATGGAGGAGGAGGAGGAGGAGGAGGTTTGTGGAGGAGGGAGGAGGGAGGAGGGAGGCGGAGGGGATGAGGAAGATGGAATAGGGGGGAGGGGGAGGAGGAGGAGGAGGAGGGAGGATGAGGAGGAGGAGGAGGGAGAAAGGAGGATGGAGGAGAAGGAGGAGGCCGCAAGGAACGCAAGAGAGAGGGGGAGGAGGAGGGATCAGGAGGAGGGACTAGGAAGATCAGGAGGAGGGAAGAGGAGGAGGAGGAGGAGGAGGAGGAGGAGGAGGAGACCGCAAGGAGCGCGAGAGGGAGGAGGAGGGAGGGACGCAGGAGGAGGTCGCCCCCCCCCGCGGGCAAGTCGTGAGCGGCCCCGTGCTCGCCGCTGGAGCTGCGGCCGGCGCGGCCGCTGGCGCCGTCCTCGCGGCGCCGCTGTACTGGTCCTGGAGGCGGGGGCGCCCCCCCCCCCGCCCCCCCCCCAGGCTCGGAGGAGGGTCCAGGGCCACCGTAGCGGCGATGGGCTCAGGTGGGGAATGCATCGACCCTCAGTCGCCTCCGATCGGGCCGAGGTAAAGATCGACGAGGTCGGTCTGGGGAGAGTGCCTTGATGTTCGTGCGTTATGGATGTTTTTTTGTGCGTCCTGGGGGAGGACATCCTCGAATGTTCGTCGTACTGACCGGCGGAGGGTTTCGTGTTCTTGAAGGGTGCTCTTCTGTTCTAAGTCCGACCGTATTGATCGTCGATGTTGGCGCGATAGCCCAACCCGCCCAGGAGCTCGCGGATTCGCTATGGGGGGCCTCGCGTCAATCGATCGGCGACTTCTATTTCCGACGCCAGGCCGATGTTTCCCCCTCTGAGCCTCTCCCTACCATCCTCCATAAAGGGTGTGAGGAAGGAGGGTCGGGCCGGACGAAAGGGGGGGACTGGGAAAGGGCGGGTTACGAAATCTGCTGCATGCAGCTGGTTTCGGCCCCGCCGCCGGGCCCATTCCTCGATACATAGGCGCCGCCCGGCGCCGGGAGGCGCTGGGAAAATCAGCTAGAGCTGTTTCTCACCCCCCCCTTTCGCCTGGCCCGAGAGCCTACCAGGCTTCGATTCTCGAACTGCGAGAACGGCATAAGCACGGACCCTCCGAAGGTCCGCGCGGATCTCCTGGATCGGTGCTGGTTGTGCCCCCCCGGGCGCCCACGCCCCGAGCCTTTGCCCGCCTTCCGCCCCGCGGTGCGGAGCGACGCGCTGTCGTCTTCCAGGAGGAAAAGAAACACACAGACACAATTAAGCGTCGACTCCCAGGAAAATATGCAAAAATATGGGAAGTGGGGGGAAGACAAAACCCCCCAAAATATGGGAAAATATGGGGGATCTTTTTATTTGTGTGTATTTATTTGTGTGTCCTGGGGCACCTTCAGTCTTGCAGGGCACTGCGTGCTGCCAGGGCCGCCGCCGCGACTCGCCGTGCAGCAGTTCCCGGCCGCGTGTGCTTCTGGTCAAGGTTCACCGAGCGAGTTCCACTGCTCAAGTGCCCGCTCGCAAACGTCCGAAAAAACACATGTTTTTTTTCTAATTTCTCGTAGATCCCCCGCGTTGGATCCAGGCCATTTGCGAGTAGTGACTTTGCGAGTAGTGGAACGCGCTCGTCTAAAGATGCTGGAGCAATTCTGGCCAGAGCGCACCCCATGGGAGAGGTCCTGGCATCGAGTCTTGAGGCGCGGTTCCCCGACACCCAACGTCTTGAGAAATCAAGTCGGATGTTTTGTCGTTTTCGGCCTCCGGGGTGGCCCAGGGCCCCAGGGCCATCAAAACAGATTTGGTTGACAAGCGGGCGCCAAGACAAATTTGAGGTGGCCGGTTCGTATCTTCCTGAAGGGACCGGGGTCTCTAGAGAGAGGGGTCCTTGGAGGTTTCGTTGCCGCTTTCAGGCTCCTGGCGGGCCCTTTACGGGCCCTTCAGGGGTGTCAACAAACGACTCAGGATGAAGAGCTGCTCCCGGGCAATCCGTAGCCATTTGGCTCAAGGCGGGAACTCGGGGCGTGTTTTGCTTCGCGCGGTCAAGAATGACCAAGCTCGCCATTTCCACATGTTTCGATTTTTTGGCGTAAGGATGCGCAATCATATTTTTCTTGCTGCATCGCGCTTCCATTTGCCAGTCTGCAAGGTGCCACAATACAATAATGTGTACTGAACTGTGCAAACCAACTCAACAATGTCCGAGCAGGGGTGGGTGGTTACATGCGCAACCATCCATTGAACTCCAACGCGCAGTCTGATTGACGGATTTTTGTTTGCAGCAGGGGAGGGTACTACAGGCACCAAAAGTCTCGCTCTTGCTTATCTTCATTAGAAATGAGGGGTCAGCGCTTCACTGATTTTGAGGAGGGGGTGAGTGCTGGAGCAGAGGTAGTATCCTGGATGGCAAATCTTCTGCACAATCGTATGCTTGATGATGCTTCGGAATGCAGACGCTACTACATAACATTTGATGATACCACTGTTCCCCGTGATGTGGATGCGCTTCTAGACTCCCCTTCGAGCAATTATGTTTTGGACATGCTCTTGACGTTCCCCACAGCCAAGGTCATCATGACTACACGCCCACCTGAAGCATGGGTTTCAACAAGGTTACTTCGGTCTGAACGAGGTTGCGAGCCGGTGGAGCCACCAATTCAAGAAAGATGCGCGAGGAAAGTATGTCAGTCCTAGATCTCAGTAGGAACAAGTTGATCAAGCTCCTCAAGTTCAACCAGGATTTGATACGGCGTAGTGTTCCACAGCAGCAGTTCATGGACATCAACTTGTGGACATATCCCGCCGCTCGAAATAATAACTTGATGTATGATCTAGCGAACGTTACCAGACGCAACATCTGGCGCGTCGTAACGAGCCTTTAGCCAAGGCTCAAGCGGCACAAGCCTTGAGCCGGGGCTCAAGCCTTGAGCCAAGGCATCCTCTCATCCTACTACGCACTCCTTCTCCATCACATAATTCCTTTCTCTCTTACGCCACCCTTGTGGGCAGCTGTTGTCATGCCGGAAAAAGCATAGTATCCTTCTCCTGACGCGACGCTCGGCACTGAAAGGTGGGCAGGACAAAGTGGCCCGCACTGGCAACTCGCCGCTCAAGGTCGACCAAGAAGGCACAAACTCGCGTCAGGACCTGTTCGAACAGCAGCAGAATAACGCTGACAAGAACAACACCGCGGGCACCAACGTGGCTCTTGGAGCGGCTCTGACTGCAGAGACGCCCAAAGTCATCCTGAAGAAACAGTCGGAGCCGATCCGCAACGACATCATAGCCATCAAGGCATATGGGATCACGCGGGAGGCCCTTGACACCGCAGTGAAACCTCTTCAAGCATCAGCCGACGACATTACCAAACGCGTATCGGCATTGGAAACTTCGTCCCGACCGTCATCAGCAAAATCCGCAGCGACAGTAGACTCGACTACCAACGCCAAACTACTGCAGTTGGAGATGGACATCGAAGCAATGAAGCAGCAACGCGCTACTCCAGCACGTCCGGCAGCACACGTCACCCACAGCACCAACAGCATCACAGACAAGAGGGACAGCACTGCTGTCATCGGAAACGTCGACGGTTTTGACACCTTGGAGGCTGCAGCCGCTTGGATCAAACAAGAACTACAACGTCTAGGGGCGCCAGCACCAACCCACATGTACGCCAAGGGAGAATTCAACGATATGCTGTTCATAGAATTTCTCAGCATTGACGACAGAAGCCTTGCGGCTGGCCGGATTCGGAGCGCCAAAATTAACAAGAGCGAACGACATATTTGGTTTACAAACGATCGTCCACCACTGATCCGTGGTGCACGCAACTCTTGTTTTGGCGTCAAATACAATTTGAAGGACAATGGGCATCACTTGCCCAATGCGCGTCGACGACACAGACGAACCACACGGTAACAGATTGTGGGAAGTTGGCTCTTACCGTGAAGATTGAAGGAGACACGGTTATCCAGGAGTGGGCCTTTGGTGAATGGGCAGAGGGGGGAACCTTGCACAACCGCGCAAAATTGACAGACGTTACCGCGAAATGCGATGAGATCGCCACCCGCGCCGCGAAGAGCCTAAAAGGATCTGCGAAGGGGGGGTCCACAGGGTCCAAGCAGGACGCACGGCGGACCCTGGTGGCCACCACCAGCGTCCGAGCCACAACATGCAAGATCTATGTTTTTTTTCTCCGTTCCGAACGTGGAGGTCACGGGCAAAGATGCCGACGCATCCATTCGTCTGGTTCCACATCTTCCCGATCCTCCTGAACCTCTTTCTCGTCTCTATTCGTCTTTCTCCAGAGGTGTTATTGTGGGTTTGGGCAAAGTTACCACTTCCAACAGTATCTCGGCGACCGCTTCTTCCAGGGCGGACTTCGGGATATCCACCGCTCTGGTTCCAGATGTTTCTGGTCTTCCTGAGCCTTATCCTCAATATTCTTTTCTCTACGACGAGTCCTCCCATGATCGGGATCATGGAGCTGAACGCCCGGAGTATAATCGCATCTCCGACAACCGCCGAAGCCGCACTGGGAACAACGCTGCCCGGAGCTGTCCGGCAACCGCCCCTCCCACTGCGCAGGGGCCCGCCCGGACGAGTGCGACCACTTCGGCGAGACGCTGTTGCCCGACCTCTGCCTCTACCCACGGCCTTCGGCATCTCACCTCTTACTTCTGGCCCAGCACTCCGACCTCGAGCTTCGAACGATCGACTTTCCACCTCCACCTCCACCTCCGCCGATCGACCCCAAGCGTTCAGCAGCTCAGCGCTCCGACCTCCGCCCTCCCGCAGCAGGTGACTGCCCACCTCCACCTACGCCCATCGACCTCCATCGCTCAGCAGCGCAGCACTCTGACCTCCACCGCCCAGCAGCATGTGACTTCCCACCCCCACCTCCACCCATTGACCTCCAGCGTCTAGCAGCTCAACACTCCGACTTCCCCCCTCCAGCATCCGACTTTCCACCTCCACCTCCACCCGTCGACCTCCAGCGCCCAGCAGCGCAGCGCGCCGACCTCCACCCTCCAGCAGCACGTGACTTTCCACCTCCACCTCCACGCGCCGACCCCCAGCGCCCAGCAGCTCAGCACTCCGACTTCCACCTTCCAGCATGCGATTTTCCACCCCCACTTCCACGCGTCGACCTCCGGCGCCCAGCGGCGCAGCGCTCTGACCTCCGCCCTCCAGCAGCGAGCGACTGTCCACCCCCACCCCAACCCATCGATTTCCAGCGCCCAGCAGCTCAACATTCCGACGCCCAGCCTCCAGCATCCGACTTTCCACCTCCACCTCCACCTGTCGACCTCCAGCGCCCAGCAGCGCAGCGCGCCGACCTCCACCCTCCAGCAGCACGTGACTTTCCACCTCCACCTCCACGCACCGACCTCCAGCGACCAGCAGCTCAGCACTCCGACTTCCGCCTTCCAGCATGTGACTTTCCATCCCCACCTCCACTTCCACGCGTCGAGCTCCAGCGCCCAGTAGCGCAGCACTCCGACCCCCACCCTTCAGCTTCAAATAATTTTCCACCTCCACAGTCCAGCAGGTCAACACTCCGACCTCAACCCTCCAGCATCCGTTTTCCCACTTCCGCCTCCACCTGCCGACCCCCAGCAGCAGCGAAGCACTCCGACCTCCACCCTCCTAGCAGCATGCGACTTGCCACCCCCGCCTCCACCGCCAGCTCAACGTCCACATCAGAGTTTTTTTTTCCCAACCCTCCTTGGTTGGGTATTCGTTTTGAATAGAGCAGTGTGGTCGCGTCCCTTCTCCTCCCGCCTCTTCCTGTCTTGCCCGCGGGGGGCTGCGATCTGTGAAACTGTCGCAATTTTCGAGGCCTGCTGGGGGGCCCAGCACAGTGAGGGCCACGGGCGGATCCAAATTAGACCTCGCCATCCCTGGGGGGCTGCGATCTGTGAAACTGTCGCCATTTCGAGCCCTGCTGGGGGGCCAGCACAGTGAGGGCCACGCGCGGATTCAAATTAGACCTCGCCATCCCTGGGGGGCTGCGATCTGTGAAACTGTCGCCACTTTCGAGGCCTGCTGGGGGGCCAGCACAGTGAGGGCCACGGGCGGATTCAAATTAGACCTCGCCATCCCTGGGGGGCTGCGATCTGCGAAAACTGTCGCCATTTTCGAGGCCTGCTGGGGGGCCCAGCACAGTGAGGGCCACGGGCGGATTCAAATTAGACCTCGCCATCCCTGGGGGGCTGCGATCTGTGAAACTGTCGCCACTTTCGAGGCCTGCTGGGGGGCCCAGCACAGTGAGGGCCACGGCGGATTCAAATTAGACCTCGCCATCCCTGGGGGGCTGCGATCTGTGAAACTGTCGCCATTTTCGAGGCCTGCTGGGGGGCCCAGCACAGTGAGGGCCACGGGCGGATTCAAATTAGACCTCGCCATCCCTGGGGGGCTGCGATCTGTGAAACTGTCGCCACTTTCGAGGCCTGCTGGGGGGCCCAGCACTGTGAGGGCCAGGGGGACCCAATTAGACCTCGCCACGCCATCCTGGGGGGCTGCGATCTGCGTCGCCAAGGCCTGCGACTTAGACCTCGCCATCCCTGTCGATCTGTGAACTGGTCGCCTGTCTGTTTTTCGAGCCCTGCTGGGGGGCCAGCACAGTGAGGGCCACGGGCGGAATTAGACCTCGCCATCCCTGGGGAGCTGCGATCTGTGAAACTGTCGCCACTTTCGAGGCCTGCTGGGGGGGCCCAGCACAGTGAGGGCCACGGGCGGACCCAAATTAGACCTCGCCATCCCTGGGGGGCTGCGATCTGTGAAACTGTCGCCACTTTCGAGGCCTGCTGGGGGGCCCAGCACAGTGAGGGCCACGGGCGGACCCAAATTAGACCTCGCCATCCCTGAGGGGGGCTGCGATCTGTGAAACTGTCGCCACTTTCGAGGCATGCTGGGGGGCCCAGCACAGTGAGGGCCACGGGCGGACCCAAATTAGACCTCGCCATCCCTGGGGGGCTGCGATCTGTGAAACTGTCGCCATTTTCGAGCCCTGCTGGGGGGCCCAGCACAGTGACGTCCACGGGCGGATCCAAATTAGACCTCGCCATCCCTGGGGGGCTGCGATCTGTGATACTGTCGCCACTTCCGAGGCCTGCTGGGGGGCCCAGCACTGTGAGGGCCACGGGCGGACCCAAATTAGACCTCGCCATCCCTGGGGGGCTGCGATCTGTGAAACTGTCGCCACTTTCGAGGTCTGCTGGGGGGCCCAGCACAGTGAGGGCCACGGGCAGATTCAAATTAGACCTCGCCATCCCTGGGGGGCTGCGATCTGTGAAACTGTCGCCACTTTCGAGGCCTGCTGGTGGGCCCAGCACAGTGAGGGCCACAGGCAGATTCAAATTAGACTTCGCCATTCCTGGGGGGCTGCGATCTGTGAAACTGTCGCCACTTTCGAGGCCTGCTGGGGGGCCCATCACAGTGAGGGCCACGGGCAGATTCAAGTTAGATCTCGCCATCGCTGGGGGGGGGCTGCGATCTGTGAAACTGTCGCCACTTTCGAGGCCTGCTTGGCGGGCCCAGCACAGTGACGCCACGCGCGGACCCAAATTAGACCTCGCCATCCCTGGGGGGCTGCGATCTGAGATCTCCGCTTTCGAAGTGGCTAGGGTTGCTCAGGGATTGCAACTAATCAGCTTTATCTAGTCCTTGTCCTGAAGCCAGTTTCCTGCGAGTCTCCCGAATTCCGTCTGCAGACATATGTAACCCTTGCTCCGTCATCGCCCCCCTTATAAAGTGTCATAAACTATTTGCGCCCCGCGTTTGCGCAGGGGTTGGGTACGTCGCCAGGGTAATTTTTTTTTTGGGGGGGGGGCGCGGAGCACTCAGGCACGTGAGTGGCGTCGTTTCGGTAGGCATCTCAACGCGTTGGCCCCAGTTTAACGACCCGGGAGAACGACGAAGCATCAACAATGAGCCAGCAGACGCGCGCCGCGCACGCCCAGAGACGGGCACAGCCCCACTGAACCTCACGAAGCACAGTGAGAATACGTTCACAACCATACACACAAACGCCAGGCGCCTGACAGTGGACGACAGCATCGACGCGCTCTTGCGCGAACTTGCCAACGCGCATTGGGGCGCAGGTGTCATCGACGAGACGAGGGGGACAGTTGGGGGAGAAATGTGGATTCCCAAAGATGGCAATCATGTGTTCTCAGCTGCCGGACGCTCAACGAGTTCGCGAGGAGTAGCACTTTTGATTCATAACTGCCACGCTTACTACACCGCGCGTTTTACGCCAATGAACGAGAGGATTGCTTGCATCGATTGAGACTTGCCCGGGAAAGGCCCCG